CTAGCCTTGTTTTGTCTGAGCTTTGTCTTGTCTTGATACTTGTGCAAGTTTCACTCCTTTTGAGTTGATCTTCGATATCTTGTCACCTTGTTGATCAAACCTGCAATCAAGCACAACTTGTGAGCCTTTGAGACTATTTTGCACACATTTTTAATCAAAACTTAAGCAAGAAGGAGTATAAAATGTATCAAAATCCCTAGTTATCAGTTCTGCAACTTCCCGAGGATAAGTACAGACGTCTCCGTACCGATCTGCGAGACTCTACTAAACCGGATCATGACCCGTGAGACCTATATAACCTAGGCTCTGATACCAACTTGTCACGACCCCAAACCACCCTGGTCGTGATGGCGCCTATCACAGTACTAGGCTAGCCGACTCAATACTAATAACATTAAGGTCTTTTGTAAATTCATTTCCAAATCAATTATGATCATAAGTCTTTCATTTTAATATAAAAAAATACGTGGAAAAAACAAATATGCAATTACACCCACACTGCCCAATCCTGGTGTCACTAGTCATGAGTCATTAAGATACTGTCCAATACTGTCTACTCAATACGAGATAAGACTGAAATAGATAATACTAAGGATAGGAAGGAGAAAGGCAGGGCTACGGACGCCGTGAATTTACCTTGCTATCTCCGGAAAATACTCAGAAGCCGCTGAATGCTCTCACTCGGATGTTCTGGCACCTGGATCTGCACACAATATGCAAGGAGTAATGTAAGTATACCAACTCAGTAAGTAACCAATGTAAATAAAGGCTGAGTGCAGTGACGAGCATTTAAATCATATACATAGTTTAACATAAAATCTCAATAGAAATAACAAAGTCAAATCCGTAATTCAATTTTCGAACATCTCGTAAAAACTCCATTTTTCAATGAAAGTTATTTAAAACACTTATTCAACATTTTTCAATAGACTCAGTATAAAAGAAGAGTGAAAGCAGTAATTTCATAAACAAGCCCCTCGGGTAAAGTATCACTCATATATATGGTCCCTCGAGTAAGCCTCCCAGTCACTCGTGACTCAAATCTCATCAATCAGCACTCACACTCAGCACTCCCACTCAATAGATATCTCATAATGATAACTGCTGAAGCGTGCAGCCCGATCCATAAATATATATAGTCGATTGCACTCACTGGGGGTGTGCAGACTCTAGAGGGCGAGCAGCCCAATCCATAAATATATAATTCTTATTATCCGGCCCTCGGCCTCTCTCAGTCATCAACCTCACAGCCACTCAGGCATTTCAGTGAATAATCAGGGAACTCAGCCCAAACAGTTTTCATATATTTGAAAGTAGAGTAATGAAACTGAATCAAACGATAAACAAGTAAAAATCATGATTGAGGATATGCTTTCAAATCAAAACAGTGTGAGGATAATAGTAAAATACCCCCTGAGGGTCCAAACAGTACGACACAAGGCCCCAAATATAGCATTTATCCCAAGTTAACAGAATCAATTCTAAACACATGGGTTTCATATAGAGTATATCAAAATATGCAACTGTACAGTTGCCACGGGACGGACCAAGTCACAATCTTTACGGGTGCATGCCAAAACGTCCGTCACCTAGCATGTGTGTCACCTAATTTATCAAAATAGTATGAATTCTCAAGGTTTCATACCGTCGGGTCTAGATTTACAATCGTTACTTACCTCAAACCGGATGAAAATGTACTACGCAATTCCCTTGCCTCTCGACCCGGTCTCAAATCGTCCTGAATCTATCCAAAATCAAAATCATAACATCAATACATGCCAAAGGAATAAAGCCCACGCGAAAATTATCAAATTAGCTCAAAAATCCCGAAATTGGTCAAACCTGACCCCCGGGCCCACGTCTTGGAATCTGATAAAAATTACCACACTAGATATCTTAACCTCTCACGAGTCTATACATACCAAAATCATCAAAATCGGACCTCAAATCCCCAATTTAAACTATCCAATTTCAAGCCCTAGTTTCTCAATTTTTCACCCCTAATCTCTTCAATTTCCAAGTTTAATCAACTGAAATTCACCATAAATACGAGTATTAAGTTCAAAAATCTTACCTCAATAAGTTTCCCCTTGAATCCCTCTTCAAAACCTCCAAAAGCTTTAATTCCGTCTCAAAAATGGTGGAAATGGACAAAAATTCGTGAAGTGTTTAATTTATACCTTCTGCCCAGGCATCTCCGCACCTGCGGCCCAAATCACGCTTCTGTGGACCGCATCTGCGGTCAAAATAACCGCATTTGCGATTTTTCATTAATTCCTCAGGCCGCGTCTGCGCCCATGCTCCACATCTGTGGTCCTGTAGATGCGCCAAACACACTGCACCTGCGGTTCTTCTTTTGATGGCTAACTTCCGCATCTGCGGTCTCCTCCACGCACCTGCGACCTCGCACCTGTGGTCCCCAATCCGCAGGTGCGGATATGACAGAAGCAGCAACTAAAGCTGCTCAATTTCAAGTCCAATCTTTCCGACAACATTCCGAATTCATCCCGAGGCCCCCGGGGCCTCAGCCAAAAATATGAACAAGTCACATATCATCATTCAAACTTATACAAACCTTCGGAACACTCAAAACAACGTCGAAACACCAAATCACCTTCGGATTCAAGCCTAAGGATTTCGAAACTTTCGAATTTCGCAACCAATCCAAAAACCTATCAAACCTCATTCGAATTATCTGAAATTTTGCATACACATCACAAATGACACACTGGACCTACTCCAATTTCCGGAATTCCATTCCGACCCCGATATCAAGATTTCCACTACCGAACGGAAAATACCAAATTTCCAATTTCGCCAATTCAAGCCTAAATCTACCACGAACGTCCAAATTACATTATGAACACACTCCTAAGTCCAAAATCACCTAACGAAGCTATTCGAACCATCAGAATTTACATCCGAGAACTTCTACACATAAGTCAACATCTAATTGGCTTTTCCAACCTAAACTTCCAAATAAGAGACTAAGTGTCTCATTTCACTCCATGACTATTTGGAACACAGAAAAACCAATACGATACGATGTAATACAGTAGAAAAACATATAAAGAAGCAGAAATAGGGAGAGCGGGTGTAAAGCCCCAGAAAATTTTGCTTAGTAATTTAAGAATTCGTGGTGCCAAGGTAGGCCGAATATTTTATCTTGTGTGCGAATGAGGATTAAGAAGATTATGGATATCAATTGGATATGTTAATAAGTGTATAAGTCATAGTATAAGTGAATTGGGGTCTAAGGAGAGGCCTAAGTCTAAGCCAAGTTGGAAAATTTAATAAGAGACGAAAGTTGCAAATGAGTGCGCAGAAGACCTCACTTTGGACAATCATATCTCTAGTTATATAAGTATTTGTGTGATTCACAACCTATCAAATAAATGTTCTTTGAGTCTAGTTTCCAACGCTTCAAACCGTTCATCATTTGGACACTCCTACCAAAAGTTATGACCAAATTACCAAAAGCAACGCAGAATTTTACACTACCGCGCCGCCCCATACGGCGCGACTGTGTAAATTATCAGAGCACCTCTAGTTTCGTTTCTAAACACATATTTCATTACCACGCCGCCCCATGCGGCTCCCCATGCGGCACGGCTATGCAAAAATCGGGATTTTTGTTATAAAACGACCTCATTTCGTCAAATAGATTCAAGGGACCGTTTCTTGAGCAAAAATTAGATATTTTTAGAGTAAGAGAGTGACCTAGAGTGAGAAAGTACCCCTCATCAATTCTTCTACAACTCTTGCTCAAATCTTAAAGGATTAACAAGGAAAACTACACTAGGCCTTCATCCTTAAGATTGACATTGCTAGAATTTCCGGAACGTTATAGACACTTAAGGAAAAGCTCTTTGAGGTATGTATGGCTATCTTTAACCTTTGTAAAGTCACCTTATTTGGTGTATGAGTAATTGGTATGTGTTATTTATGTGTACTATTTGTGACTTCTTGTGTTTAATATGCCTTGTACGAGTAATTGGTATGTGTTATTTATGTGGACCATTTGTGAATTCTTGTGTTTAATATGCCTTGAATGTTGTTGGTTAAGTTTCCTGATATAATGGTGTAAGTAAATGGCAACAAGCCAAGTGTGTGTGTGTGTGTGTGAAGGTGCTTATGTGGTAAGAGCTGTGTAACAAATGATGGAAATAAATCGTAATTGATGCAATTGAAACAACTGTAGTAATATCATACGTGACTTATCGCGGCAATTATCGTTGTGACTTAAATTGTATACGGACTGTTGCATATGATGGAAATGGTATTGATGTCTATGAAAATTCTTTGTGGGTTATTGTGTTGTTGTGTGAAATGTAATTGTCCGGTGGGATCGGGTTGCGCACCGCAACACGAAGTTATAAGGTGTGGGTTGTGGTGATAAGGGTGGTCGAGGTAATAAGGGTGGCCGAGGTAATAAGGGTGGAAAAGTGATCGAAATCACTATTGAAATGAAAATATGTGAAAGTTGTGAAACCATTGATGTGATGAAATAATGTTGAAAGGGGAAAAGGAGAGATTGTGGAACTTGTTTGGCTTTGGTTGTTCCTTTCATGTGCATTGGATTGTTGATTCTATTACTATTTGTTACCTGTGTATTTCTTGATTTTACTTAGGGTAAAGTTTGTTCATACATACTATTACAATTCAAATGTACTGACGTCTCCTTTGCCGGGGGCGCTACATTCATGTTATGATTGTAGGTTGTTCTATAGCAGGTACTCCAGTCCATCGACAGTAGAACTCCTTCACTTTCTGTCAGTTGTATTGGTGAGCCCCTTTTTCCTCTCGGGGCCTTGCGTGACTCATGCCGCTTTTCCTCCCGAAAATCTTATTTTGGTATTTGCGTAAGGTATGGCGGAGCCTTGTTACCGGCAAGTATTGTAACACTCTTTTGTATCCCTAGAGGCTCCGTAGACAGGAAATGTGGGTTATGCACTTATGTATTTTGTATTTGGGCAGTTTAACATGTAAACCACGCTAAGTAACTATGTATGTTATGTAAATCTCGTAAGAATGAGTTCAAATTTACAAATGGCTATTTCACTTGGTTGACGAATAAAGGAAAATGCGGGGTAACACGTGGGATAGGAAAGGCACCCAGGTCCGCTTGATTGGGGCTACCCGGTCGAGCGCTGGTCGCGCCCCTCGGTTTTGGGGCGTGACAGCGGGACAGTAACTCATGAAACAACCGGTCGGGTCGTTACTCATGAATCCAGCCTCAAGGAATAACTTTTCCCATTCTTTCTCAGTTCTCTCTCTTCCAGGGAGGTATACCATCATCAATACATCAAAAATGAGCTTCAGTTCAGTCATGTCTGCTTCTTCTTCATCTCCATTCACCACTATGTCAATGATAATGACCTTACGTTTTCTTCCTTCATTTTTGTCCCTCATAGCTTCTCTGCATCTCTTTAGCATCTTCACACAATCCTCATCACTCCAATCATGCATGACAAGCTGCAAATTAAAAGTAATATTTTTTGAACCATACGACCATGTGGAACATAAATTAGCATTATATCATTGCTATACGTGATGAGCTACCCAAGATTACTGTTTACGAACTTAGTATCATACATGTCAGTTTGTAAACAAAAGAAACATAAGTTAGCATCTTCTTACCTTAAACAAAAAGGCATCAGCAGGGGGAATGGACTGAAACATGTCACCTCCCACATATTTCAAATTTTCTGTATCTGGAATGTTAGCAACAACATGAGGGAGGTCTAAAACTGTGCATTTTAGATGAGGAAATGCACCCAAAATAGTCTTAGCGATAACACCAGTGCCACCTCCAACATCAACCAAGGAATCCATCTCTTCAAAAACTTGTTTGCAGTCCTTCACTACCAAACTCATCATTTCGGAATCACTAGCCATTGCTTCATTGATAGCTTTGTTGAATCCTGGATTTTGGTCACAATATTTCCACAAGGGTGTGCCATATGCTGTTTCGAATGGGGTGGCTTCATTTCCAAGAAACCAATCGCCAAAAGATTGCCATGGATTCACCATAATGGGATCAACCATTACTCTGGCAAAAGGTGACAAATTTGGGATTTCACTCTTCAAAAGCAGCTTAGAAGAAGCAGTAAGAACATACCCTTCTTGTGTTTCTGAGTTTTCATCAAGCTTTTTAGTAGCAAAAAAACCAGAGTATACCAACAGGCGCATCAGTCGATGAATTCCATTTGATTTTGCAGAAGGAAGTTTCAGCTCTGAAACTAACTGAGAGAGAGTCATTGGCTGCTTATGAGTATGAACTATATCCGGTATGCCTAACTGAATAGCACAACGAAGAACCATGGAATTTGCAAAATGGAAGGTATGCTTGTAGATATGAGCCTGAATTCGGAACATTTCACTAGCTGTTGGCACATCTTTGGCTTCCATATTGATCAGAATTTCCCTGCCTTTTTCTTTCGTAAATCGGTATTGAAATGAACTAGCTACGATTTGTTACAAAGAAAGTTCAGTTCAAATAAGATAAACTTGTAGGGCCGACAAAAATATAAACTCGGACACGACTTTTGTTGATCAAGATATGAAAAAGATCATAGCCTTAGCCAACTATCTGTTGATAGTGGACATAATGAGGACAGCAAAGCTGTACAATATTATCCTATTTTTAGAATTACGAGGACACGACTTGTAATGCATTTCGTTAATTCCACGTTGTACTGGTATCGAATAATTCGACAAAGTTTAGACACATGAGAAAAATATCAACTATTTTTATTTTATTTTTTTCTATTGAGATTTGAATCTTTAGCTGTGCTTAGTATTAAGAAAAATACTTTTCCAAAAAATATTTTACGGAAATTATTATCCATTATCCAACGCTTCTTAAAATCTAGAAACTATTTCAAATGGATTAGCATAGGAAACTATAAGTGAAGAAATCGTTTTTCTCCTTTTAATAGAAAACTAGTATACGTTCCTGCGCGATGCGCTGATCGATTCAAAAAAAAAAAAAAAAAGCGGAGAGAGATAATAAAAATGCATATATATTGCAGATTAAATTTATCAATCACAATCAAAATAATTAAAACAAAAAATAAATATAAAAATTTCATCATGTTGTCTCTATATTATTGTTGCCAAGGACCACCAATCGACTTGTTAAAAAGGGGTCTGACCATGAAATATTTTGTCTTCTTGTTGATCGGTAAAGGATTTGTTCCTCAATATGAGTCAAAAACTTAGCAGCAAGAAGAAGAATTAAACTCAAAAAGTTTAATTTCCTGATTAGGCGAAAAACCAGCTAATTTATTTAGGCTTGCCACTTTCTTTTAATAAATTACTTGACAACCAAAAGAAAATTAAAGATAGACCAAAAAAATACTCCTACTAATTCACAAGGACTTAAAGTATGCTTCTACATTAATTGATCACATAAATCGATGAACTTACTTGAATACCATCAATAAAGTTTTTAAGTACCTCAATTATTAGGGGTTAAATTGGATAAGAACTACTTCATTTTAGTCTGCTCTATTGAAGGCTATAGTCTGCTTAAAATCTTGTACCACAAAAGTTGGTAGTAGCATATGGAGTCTATCCAACGTCAAAGAATATATGTGATTTACTGGAGAAGATGAATTCCAGTAAATCATCAACATTTATAATTGTCTTTCCGATCCATTCTTCATCAAGGATATCGACTAACTCTGAAAGAATAGTACTTGTTTGCAAGAAATACTCAGTAATTTGTGAACAACAAAAAAAGTGATTAAAGGACAAATAATATAAGACCGCAATTTGCAATCTAGTCTAGAAATAACATAGTTTCAGAATGAAAAGGTAATATTTTTAGTACCTATCCAGATAAAGGATTGTACTATACACAAGTGTTTTCAAAGTAGCTGCAATAAAATGCCACGCTTGATTGTAGTAAAGTGAATTTGCAAACTAAAACATCCTTATATATGTTTCTAAGAAGATAAAGAGAATGATAAAGAACGCTGCAACTTTGCTTATAAAAGCTAGTTAGGAGAATTATGTGTAATGGCTGCTATAAACATTTTTGTATTGATTCTACAGATCACAAGAAAAAAGAAAGAAAAAAAGAGGAAAAAGAGCAACCCTTTTTTATACTATTGTACTTACTAATAATAATAATGCAAGCTAAAACACCAAAGAGATTCCCAAAGACACCTAAAGGTAAGCAACATTCAACAGATTACTCCATAATAATAATGCAAGCTAAAACACCAAAGAGATTCCCAGAGGACACCTAAAGGTAAGCAACATTCAACAGATTACTCCACAAATAAAAAAGGACATGTGGAATAATCATAGTTTCCATGAACAGCTAGCAGTCATATTATCATCATATTGATAAATATGCTAATGAACTGAGCTTAAACAGTAATGCATATACATGTAAAAGAGCACAGACTTTCTGATGGGAAAGGAGAAAAGTTCTAGACATATGACTCATAGCAGAAAAGCAGATAATAGATTTGAAACTTGACATTGGAGGAGCAGTCACACATCAAAGAGTGCATATACGTCCATGAACATTTAGTCACTTCTTTCTTTACTGAGAGTGATACATACCTCCATGAAATTGTGGAATTAAGTGAACATTCTAAACATCAACATTCCTAGGGAAACATTCCCTCTGAACTACAATGAAACCACACATGAACTTTCTCTGAAAAAATCCTTGAAAGCAGATTTTTGTATCAAATAGCTATATTGCTCAACACTTTATATTTACAATTTGTCCTTATCTATTTTTTTTTAAAAAGGTAACAATAATTTGTCCTTATTTAATTGATTAAGAGAGTACATAGACTTCATAGAATTCCGCAGATATAAAGGTAAACCAAACTCATTTGCAACCTTAATTGACCATTGCGAAATACATCTCTGTTTTGTGGGCCAGTATGACAAAAAGGTAAAGCATGCATGTTGTTTAGTATAACTTACAAATTGATGTATCGATTATTCCCTATATTATTTACCGATTGTATCAAGTAGCCAATTTGATAATCATTTACTTGTAAGCTTTTGGATTAGATGAACTCAAACTCATTTTATGCATTTGAGTCTTAAATTAGTTAGCTTGGATCAGACTTCAAGGAAAACCAACGTATTCGTTAAACATGATAATTACAGAACTAAAAATGGTAAACAATTATAAATAAAATTTGTGGTAAAGCCTTATTTATACTACCTCCATTATCAGCATTCGAACTTAATTCTCCCTCATATGTGCTTAGGTTAAAATTAGTATTGCCTCCCTCCTGTTGCACTTTATAGCAGTCTTATCGGACACCCTGGGCCAAAATCGTCATGTCAATGTTGAAAGCATCAACGACATAACATAAAAGGGAGGGGGAGAGTCAAGTTATGATCATTAGACCTTGCAACTTTCATATCGTTGTCAATCAGTCCTAGATAAATATACTGCAGCATATATCCAATTACACGATATTCTTTGTTCTTTCTAAAATCTGTATAATGATATGATAATATGTCAAGTAAGCTTTCTAACAGTTATGTCGCTGATATTATGACATTCCTAAGCTATGGTGAAATAAGTGGTTAGTTACTTCTTACTGAGAAAGTGCAAAATCTGAGCTTCCCATTGATTATTTTGGGGTAAGCAAATTTGTTTGCTATAATTATACGACCCCTTTTTAATTTTCTTGGGGTTTTGGAGCTAAAGTTTTAATCTTTGATATATTTGTTGTGGACCCTTTTGATTTCTTGAGGTTTGGAGTTTGTTATTTTGGGGCATGCAAATTCTTGAATAAGATATGAAGTATTCTGGGGTTGTTGTTGTGTCATTCTTGGTTTGATTTTTGTTAGCCTTGTTGAGGTCAATGAGGGTCAAATTCCAACCACACTTGATGGACCTTTTAAGCCCGTGACTAATCCTTTGGACCAAAGTTTTAGAGGACATGTTGTTGATTTGCCAGACACTGATCCCAGAGTTCAAAGGAAAGTAAAAGGATTTGAGCCTGAACAGATATCTATTTTCCTTTCTTCTACTTATGACTCTGTTTGGATTTCTTGGATTACATGAAATTTGCTAAAGTTTTCTTCTTTTTTTAGCCTGTTAGTTTGAGTTTAAAGGGGAACTTTGGCGTAACTGGTAAAGTTACTGTCATGTGACCAGGAGGTCACCGGTTCAAGCTGTGGAAATAGCCTTTGGCAGAGTAAGGCTGCGTACAATAGACCCTTGTGATCCGGCCTATCTCCAAATTTAGCACATAGCGGGAACTTAGTACACCGAACTGCCCTTTAATTCGAGTTCAACTTTTAACTTGAAGAATTAGTGCTTGGATCAATTCAAGCAGAGTGTTGGAGTTACTATTTCTTTCCTGCTAATACTAAATGGTATAGTGAGGCTATTTATGATAATGTCCAATGTTTATCTTTTAAAATATATATGTTAATTCAGTTATGTCATCAATTTGAGTTGATAAAATGGAATCTTTGGTACATAATTGTGCGCTTTTTAGTCAAGGCCAGATTTTAAGTTGGCAGTGCTATAGCCATATCGCACGACCTATAGCCATATCGCACGATCAATCCTTCGTTGGATTCTTCAGCCCCGAGAAGTTTGAATCATTGCAAAGGGTAATGTCATTCGATCAAATATGGGACAAGATTAGCAGCATTGCAGAAGACACGGCACTTGAACCTAGAGTATATATTAAAAGTTGGAACGATCATTTCTTCGTGTTGAAGGTGGAAGCTAACGCGTATTACGTTATTGATACATTGGGAGAAAGGCTATTTGAGGGTTGCAATAAAGCATACATTTTAAAGTTTGACGACAACAGTACGATCTATGAGAAGGTTAACGCGGAGGAGAAGACACAGAAAAATGATACTAAGGCTAAGGAAGAAATAATATGTGATGGGAAAGAATGCTGCAGAGAATTCATCAAGAGATTTCTCGCGGCTATCCCTCCCTCTAAAGGAACTGGAGGAGCAAGAGAAAAAGGAGACAGTTTCCTATTGATATGGTGTCCATCTCATTCAAATGATTTGGTAGCCAATTTTGTTGACTTGGTTTGGTTTGGTAGCCAACCTTGTTGAATTTATATAATTTGGTAGCCAATTTTATTGACTTGGTTTGGTTTGGTAGCCAACCTTGTTGAATTTATATAATTTGGTAGCCAATTTTATTGACTTGGTTTGGTTTGGTAGCCAACCTTGTTGAAATTGTGAAAATCGTGTGTAAATTGTCAAATATTGTAGGCTTTAGAGAGTGAGGTTTTAGCTATAAAAGGAGAGCTTTAACTCTCATTTCTACACACCAACAAAGAGAGAAAAGAGAGAGCAAGGTATTCCATAAACTATAAGAAAATAGTTTGTGAAGAAAAATAGAGTGTGAGAGATATTGTAGTGAGGTGGAAAAAGCAAAAGAGTGTTTATTTCTTTTGAGGGTGTAGTGGTCTTAGGAGTATTTTTTACTCGTTACTATACAGTGTAAAATTCCTCGCTATAGTGATATCAGTTGCTCTTCTTGGCCGTGGTTTTTTCCCTTATTCAGAAGGGTTTTCACGTGAAAATCTTGGTGTCATTATTACTGCATTTCTATTCTTGCTGAGTTAACCATAACTTAGTGTTCTGCGTTTATCACTAATACCGT